GGCGCGTGGGTTGTGCGTAGGGAAGCCCATTGAAGTGAATGGGCTGCCCTATGAGTGTAGTACAAAAATACGCACAAAAAAGTGCTCTTTTTACATGCGTCCGCAAAATGCAGTTTATAGATACAGGATAAAAAAAAATTACAAAGGAAAAAAATCTTTTGCAATTATGAGGGTGGCCACTGGGGTGCAGTATGTGTCATTATTTCTCTGTACTGCACTCCCAGCTGCCCACACTATACATGGCAGGAAGGGGGCGCTTTTACCAGGATAAAGAGATGTGGACTGCTCAGCTCCGCCCACTCACATGCTGGCTTTAGCTGCTAATGACAGCTTTGAAACTGCACCCAAAATCGCCATTCACACATGTATTATCAGCCCAGAAGCCATTGGCTGTCCCTCTGGGGTGTTCTGTGGCTACTACTGCTTTGAATTACATCCCCAGCTGCCCACACTGCACCTAGAAGGGAATAGCGAGTAATGACAGCTTTAAAACTGGAAACAAAATCAGCATTCGTACATAAATAATCAGTCCAAAAGCCATGAGATGTCCCTCTGGGGTGTGCGGGTCTGCTCTGAATTACATTCCCGGCTGCCCACACTGTACATAGAAAGGAATGAGTTACTTTACCATAACAAAGATGGCCAGCGGAGTCCTCAGTTCCGCCCACTCAGATACTGGGTTAGCAACTAATGACAGCTTTGAAACTTGAATCAAAATCAGCATTAAAACATGAATAAACATCACAAAATGCATGAGCTGTCCCTCCAGAGAATACTGTGGCTATTACTACTCTGAATGACATTCACGGCTGCCCACACTGTATATAGAGGAGAATGGGTCACTGTACCATAATAAAGATGGCCATCGCAGTACTCGTCTCCGCCTCTCCTTGGCTCCACCTCTCATATAGCCGAGTCTGTGGTCTCTTCATAACTGCCGGAGGAGGAGCTTCAGCCCAGCAGTCCTCTCCTCTCTAAGAAAAGGCAGTGAATGAATAGTTGCTAGGGACTCCAGAGTGCTTAGCAACCGAGGTTTGCTCCGCCCCCTGCTGCGTGTAACTCCTCCCACTTCCTGGCCCCTGATTGGCTGAAATCTGGGACTTGTCAGGTATAATGGGGGCTGTGATAGGAGCTGTGTTGATCTATGGGGAGGGGGACTGTGATCTCTGGGGGACCTCAGAGGGGATCTAGCTCTGTATACACAAGCATTGCTATAGAAATGTCTGTCATCTCCTGTACAGGTGATCATGACATCACACTCTGCTTTCTATGGACACTCTGCTACTTTGTTGTCAGAGGTTTTCTATAAAGTGACCCTTCCCTCCCCCCACTTTGTATCATTGCACTCCTCCCCCTCCGCTGTCACAGATGGACATTTTATTTCATTAATGTATTTATTATTCTAAAAAATTTTTGGCATTTTTTTTTTTACCACTTCTGACCGGAAACTTTTACCCCATAAATCCTGGCCAGGGCAATTTTCAGCTTTCAGCGCTATCACACTTTTTAGAATGACAAAAATGCCGGTCATGCAACACTGTACCCAAATGAATTTTTTACCATTTTTTTTTAGACAGATAAAGCTTTATTTTTGGTGGTATTTATTCACCGCTGGGATTTTTATTTTTTTTTTTTTTTATGTAAATGAGTACAACCATGTCCAAAAAATTTTTAAAAAGTGTTTTTTTTTTTTTTTTTAACTGATTGCTTTTAAATAAATATATATTTCATCAAAAAATCTTGGCCAAAATTTATTTCGTTATCTTTTTAGTAAAAAGAAAAAAACCAAATTAGTTTATAACCAAAAATTATCATTTTTAAACATTTTTTTTTACATGGTTCACAGATTGCACAAGGCTTTATTATATTTTTTTATATTATTATTTTTTAATGTGATCATTTTTCACATACTTTCACACGTAGTAAGCACATGATGTCACAATGTGACATCTTGCTTACTACTTTGCATGTGATCACTGATTTTTTCAGTGATCACATGATTGCGGGACCACCACAGAGGTTCCGTCCGCATGATTTCAGCGTTTCACTGTGACTGGATTCTTGATACAGCGGGTCCGGATCGCTGTGATTGCGCGCTCCCAGGGAGCGCGCACAAGCAGGGTGTGGGGTGGCCATTTATAAAGCATGTGACCTCTGTGATCACTGCCACCGTTTCCACCGTTTATATACAACGGCCAGTCGGGAAGTGGTTAACATTTGTTTATTGCTGTAATATCTTTTTTTCTTGTCCCCACCCCTCACATTTACAGGTGATCATGACATCACACTCTACTTTCTATGGACACTTTGCTACTTTTGTTTGTCAGTTTTTTTTTTAAAGTGACCCTCCCCCCTCCCCCACACACACTTTGTATCTTGCACTCCTCCCCCTCCGCTGTCACAGATGGACATTTCTTTGTATTTCTTTTATAGATTATTCGCCTTTTTTGCATTTCTTTATTGATTTTTGTAATACCATTTTCCTTGTCCCCTCCCACCACTGGCAGGACTCTCCGACAACCTCCTGGAATACTGATGTCATGCATCCCAGGAAGCCTCGGGGTCCTGTACAACGCATGCGCTGCTGTGCATCATCAGGGCTCTGGCTGTCTGTCAAGGATCACCCTGTCACGTATCCACCCACACGCCATGCCTACAGCGACTAGCTAACAGAAGCACGCACGTGCGGCCGCGACAGGGAGGTCAAGAGGGGATAAAGGGGACTTAACTTGAATATCTAAAAACCGTATGTAAGATCAGCCATGATACCTTTTCACAGCCCGCACTACCTGTGGCCACCAGCAGATGGAGACTCCACTCCAATCCAGCTGGCTGATCACACACACTGGCAGATACGAATCTTACATACAACCTGGTGCACTGATTAGAGTTGAGGAACAGTTTAGTAATTACACACCCTTCTAAGGTCCCGCCAGCTACCTACAGCTTGAACCCCGGGGTTAATCACCCTTCCACTGTCCACATTCCCCCGCACCAGACACACCACAAAGGGTAGCCTGCCACCACCCAACAGTTTATCCGCAGAACGGTCTGTTGAGACTCCACACACACATAGATTTCCATCTGGCAGATCTGTTACCTTTGCAATCTGCGTACAATCTGCCCACTCGCAGTGCAGCTGCATGCAGATTGGCAATGAGCTTGACCGAGCATTTTAAAGGCACTAAAATACAATCTAATCTCTCTGATCTAGTCTCTCCAATCTAGTCTCTCCGAAGATATGAGCACGTGCTTAAATACACAGAAGTCACTAATTAATTTTAAAGATTTAATTTCCCAAAGTGGGCAGTGCATAAAATATGTACAAAATATAAAAAAGTTACAGAAATACAAAAGAAATAAGAAGACACACAAATGACTAATTATTATATAATAAAAAGGGAATAAAAGACAGAATAACACTTTTCCCTACGACTGGAGCAAGCCAGAAAATTAGCAATCCGTTGGTCAATCGAACCAGCTCTGTACGAATCACAAATGTCCGTGTACTCAATTTATTGGGATATGGACGTAGGCGGGACATTAGTCCTCGGCCAATCGACCATGCTGCTCCTGCACCCGCTCACAGGATGCTGTGGATGCTGACCGGCCTAAGTTCAATCGGGCCAAGGCCGGCCCGAACACCAAGTCGGGGATTGGATTTCCGACACCAGCCCAATCGCGACAGTACCGACTGTCGCAACCCACACCTAACCATCCTGGCTTTTCCTCCCCCCAAGCCACAAATATGATTTTTATATACAAATGCAGCGAACAGCATGCCCTACAAAAAGGGAGCATGTTCATATCTCTCCAACTAATTTTCCAGCTTTTATGAGAGATTAAACATACTTCTTTGATGAATGAATGAATGAATGAATGAATACCTATAGGGCTTTCCACATCAGGCAGCTGCCCTGTCTGCTGTAATTAGTTCCCAAACTGGTTTTCCCAGCAGGTGATAATCTTATGAACACAAAGGTGTGTCACCTCCAGGAGGCCTGGCTATAGACTAATTAATGCTAATTGATGCTAAATGATGACCACTGTCTGTGATGTCTATTGAGTAATTTCCGTAATGGACTCAATACACATTCTTAATGAAAAGGGCTGTTCCTGAATACACATTTGTAATGAAAAGGCCTGATCTACAAATAAATATACTCAAACCTGCTATGGCTATGATTCTATATTTCCACCGATCAAATCTTTATCCACTCAAATCTTACATGTCCGTTACATCTCCCCTCTTCCAGAGGACGCATAGCTGAGCCTAAACGGGTCAGCTAACATGTCTGCCAGGAAGGTTCCCTAGGTTGGGAGGGGGGGGTTCTCCCAACTAAAGCTTGACACCACTGACAGCTTAGCCCGTCCCCCTGCCGATGGGGAATGGCTTCTGCCTGCTCTCTGACTGATCCTAAAGGGTTTGGGTCACCACTGGCCAGCAGATCCCCCCGCGGATCCATTTCATCCACTGGCCACTGACTATCGACTGGACGGGTACTGGCAAACCTGTCATTGTGTGCTGTCAGCATTTTCAGCCACTGGCCAGGGTCATCTGGTGGTTCGCCATTGGCTGCGAACACCCAGATGCCTGAGCCTGGCATAAGGTTGTTCCTGGGTGATCTGGACCTGGTTCCATGGCTTGGATTCCAGAACCTCTACTCTGACCTGTCTCCCACACTTCTGCTCTTTCTGCTTCAGCCAGAGACTGGTCAGCACAACCCCTGAGTTCCAGCCTGACATCAAACCTATCAGCCGCCAAGAATACAGTGTTGTCAGATACACAGTCTCTGAGACAGCAGATTCTGAGGGGGTCAGTGTTCCCCCATCATCCTGTGCTCCTTCCTTTGCTGTACACAGCAATGAATCCTCATTCATGATACTCATAGCTGTGGGGCCAAAGGTTACATCCACAGAAGACTTTATTCCACCAGGGGTCATCCTCTGACCCGTGCCACAAGGGGATAGAGGCACACAGCACTGGTCTTTACCAAGACTTCCTGAAACACAATGTGCCTTCTCCCCAGGAACTTCAGAAGAACATTCTGTTTCTTTACACATGGGTACAAAACCAAATTCCTCTTGCCCATACAACCCCATCCTGCTATCCACCGCTGGCGGTCCTTCAGCCAGACCCCCGAGATCCTCTGGGCTGCCATCAATTCTCACAGCTCCAGGGGACTCCAAGCTATCTGCCACAGGCCCAGGTGGACAACAGTCTGAGGAGACCTTAGGCCCTCTGGGCCGGGTTCACAAGGATCCAACCCAGCTAGATTGGGCCCTTCCACAGACAGTTCCTCTGTAGCAGTGGGCCATGACTGGTCCAGGGCCACCTGCTGGGCACCCCGAGTCACCACTGCAGCAGAGGGAAGGTCTGCCTTGCACATGTCATTACATTTGTCATCACATAAAAACATTATCAGTTGCAGAGTCCTCTGTGACATTAAACTCTTCTCCTGGCCTTGTCTCCAGACATTCACTAGAGCCAGGCCTTAGCACACAATCCTTCACCCCCTGACTCTCCCCAGAATTCCCAGTGTGCACTGAGTCACTCAACAGTACATTACGTGAATCCGAGGCCTCAGGTGGAAATGTAGACTTCAGAGGTGTTGACTTGTTCTGGGTTACCAACCGCCCCAGGTCAGTACCCGATAGTATGTTAGTGGTAGCTGCTACGCCTACTTCTCTTACTTTGCTTATGGATCCTTGGGGCAAAGCAACACAAGCTGCAGGTAGTATGGGGGTAACTCCTCAACCCCTACAATAACTGTGGATTTCTTTGGGACCACATCCTCATGACTCTCTCCATCCGGAAAGAGCTAGGACATCCTTGGGTACCTTGTCTCGGAGTCCAACTGAAACATTGTTGCTTGCGGTAACTGGCTGCAGGCTATCCACATGGCCTCCTTCATTAGTGGGATCTGCTCTGCCCACTTCTTTCACTTGACTTCCAGACTCCTGGTTCAACAAAACACAAGCCATAAGCACAGCAGGGATGGCTCCTCCAACCCCTGTAACAGCCATGGCTTCCACTGGGATCACATCCTCACAGCTCCTCAATTCTGAAAGAGCTATGACATTCTCTGATTCCCGTACCTTGTAGTCTAACTGTAACGCTGTTACTTGCAGTAAATGGTGGCCTCCTCCATTTTCTCCAACAAGAAACACAGTAGAGGGTACATTTTCCACTTTTGCTGGTGGGCTAGATATCCAAAGGTTTGGACAGGAGTAATGTCCCACTTGGTTACAGATAACACACTTCCAGGTCTCCTTGTAGGTCTGGCTCTTGTAGTTCTTGATGCAGATGGAGGAAACAATGCATTACCCTGCTGGATTTGGACCGTCTTGGGTTAGCGCCTTCTCTCAATTTGCTCCATCTCCTGTAGGTACTTTCTCTCAATTTGTATTAACTTGGAAATGAGCCGAAACTGCCCCTCGGGGTCATCACCTCCCAAAAGCTCTAGGTTTGTTCCCAGATCAAGGTTCTGTGTGAGTGCTGATTTCTTGTGCAGAGAGGGTTTGAGAACAGAGTCACACCGATACACGCAGTCATCTGGAGTGGCACAGTTGCAGGGTTCCACCGACATGGTGCGCCTTTCTAACTCCATCTCTATCAGAGCACCTAGGACAGCAATGGGCAAACTAGGGCCCGGCGGACCTTTTAATCCGGCCCGCGGAGCGTGATAAAAAAAAAACACAGCTAGGGCAGGCAAACATTGGCTGTCAGGATGTGTGTAGGCGGGGCAGCGTGACAAACGTGAAGGGAGCTAGGCTCCTCTCACAGTCCGCCCTGAAGACCGGAACGGCGCGGGAACACGGCGAGAGAAAAACGCGCGGAGCAAAGGTAAGTGAATTGACACAGGGGGGACTTGGCTTACTACTTGGGGGGGAATAGTACTGTGGGGGATGAAATACTATATGAGGGATGAATTAATATGGGGGATGAATTAATATGGGGAATGAATTACTATAGGGGGAATGAATTTACTATGGGGGATGAATTACTATATGGGGGATGAATTACTATATGGGGGATTAATTACTATGGGGGATGAATTACTATGGGGGATGAATTACTATATGGGGGATTAATTACTATGGGGGATGAATTACTATGGGGGATGAATTACTATATAGGGGATTAATTACTATGGGGGATGAATTACTATATGGGGATGAATTACTATGGGGGAGGAATTACTATGGGGGATGAATTACTATATGGGGGATTAATTACTATGGGGGATGAATTACTATGGGGGATGAATTACTATATGGGGGATTAATTACTATGGGGGATGAATTACTATGGGGGATGAATTACTATATGGGGGATGGATTACAATGGGGGATGAATTACTATCTACTCTTGGTCCGGCTCCCGGGTCCAATATATGAACCCATTGCGGCCCTCAAGTCAAAAAGTTTGCCCACCCCTGACCTAGGAGCTGGTACCTCATCTTGCCAACTGTATTGATGTCCTTTAGATCACAGAGGTCAATCACAGTCTCATCGGATTGTCTCAGGTACCAGCGTAATAAATTATCTTCCTGGGATTACCATCTTCACGTTTTGCCAAAATAAAAGATAGAAAAGAAAAACAAAGAAGGGAGGGGGAGCAAATAGCCAAGTATGTCTTCTACAAAACAAAAATTATGCACTGATGAGCTTCTGTAGGTCAGTCACATCTACCAAGCTTCCAACCTTTAGTACACGGGTTAAATGAATAAACCATGCACTAATGTATTAAGCAGATCCCACCACTGCCACCAACTGTCAAGGATCACCTTGTCACGGATCCACCCACACGTCACGCCTACGGTGACTAGCTAACAGAAGCATGCACATGTGGCCGCGACAGGGGGTCAAGAGGGGATAAATATAATATAAATGGAAAACCATAAATGAGCACAATAATCACTATGCGAAGGTAACTCAGAATAGAGTTCTATACCACTAGAATGGAATTAACTCATAAAACAGCCAAGTCAGCAATTAGCAGTGCATATAACTATAAACTGCAGTGTGGATAATAATACTACAACTAGTCTAGTGTGTACTGTAGGAAAATGGCTAGGACAGGTTCAATGTCTCCTGAGAAGTACCCCTTAGCATAAGCATATGTAAAGGTCTCTGGTTAGTAGCTGTAAAGGAGCAGTCTTTAGTCTAGCTCCTGAGCAGGCTAGCATTGGGGCCCAGTTGCACAAATATTTCTCCACCTCCCAGCAATCTCCTTTCTGGGTAATGTAGTTCAAAAGCTTTTGATTACACAGTACAGTCTTTCCTCAGGACTACAGTTCCCACAGTGCATTGCTGCATGACTCCGTCTAATGAATTCTTCCAGATCAGCAGCTCCCTCCTGTCATTCTTAGACAAGCACCTGGCTACAGGCTCCCCATTCCAGAAATCTTTGATCTCCAAACAAGGGCAGAGTCCAATGGCATATAATGTCTATAACTTTAGATTAACTGAAATGAACAGCTAGCAGAAAACATCAAAGTTAGCATTTACACAAAACCAAATGATTCACATTAGCATAGGAATTTGAACCTCCCGCCATTTGTCAGAAGAAGTGAAGTTATGTCCATAATTATTATTATTATTATACAGGATTTACATTTACAAAATGGAAGCAGAGAGCCCTACTCGTTAGCTCTTACAATCTAGGAGGAAGGGTTGAGTGATACAAAAGGTAATAGCTTTTGGGGAGATGAGCTGATGGAAGAAATAAATGGCAGTTTACTTGGTAGAAGCAAAGAGGTTTTCAGGGATAGTCTAAAGGTGGATAGATTAGGAGACAGCCGGACAGATTAGGGTAGGGAGTTCCATAGGATGGGAGAAGTTCAGAAGAAGTCCTGGAGGTGAGCATCGGAGGAGGTGACATGGGTACTAGAGAGCAGAAGGTCTTGGGAGAATCGAAGAGAGCGGTTTGGTTGATATTTTGAGACCAGGTTGGTGATGTAGCTGGGGGCAAAGTTGTGGATGGCTTTGTAAGTTGTTAGTATTTTGAATTTTATTCGTTGGGCGAGTGGAAGCCAGTGGAGGGATTGGCAGAGAAGGGTAGCAGACACTGAACGGTTGGCAAGGTGGATGAGCCTGGCAGCAGTATTCATGATGTATATATAAGTAAAGAACCAGCGCCACGGAAATTGTATAAGACAACAGTAAGCTACAAAACCTAGCCTATAAACATATAGGATATACAAAACTTCAAAAAAAATAGGTTGCGCTTAAATACATACAAAAGTGTAACAAAAAAAATAACAAAACAATAAGAAACAATATTTTAAATCAAAATAAAATCCAGCAAAAACGAAAAACTCCAAAAGTTCAAATAATCAAATAATTATTTGAACTTTTGGACTTTTTCATTTTTGCTGGATTTTATTTTGATTTAAAATATTGTTTCTTATTGTTTTGTTATTTTTTTTTTTTGTTATGTATTTAAACGCAACCTATTTTTTTTTAAGTATTCATGATGGACTGGAGGGAGGATAGCCTATTTAAAGGTAAGCCAATGAGGAGGGAGATGCAGTAGTTGAGGTGAGAGATAACCAGGGAGTGTATTAGGAGCTTTGTGGTATCATTGGTTAAAAAGGGGTGTATTCTGGAGATGTTGCGGATGTCTCACTTAGATGTGCAAGGGGGTGACAAAGACTGATATCTGGTCACTGGACGTTGTCTTTGAGATACAACCTGGGTAGGCCGTGAATGTGGTTGCTGAGGCACACAAACTGCTTCTGCAAGTGGCAATAGCTGATTATAGTGCCAAGTCTTTTATGGACCTGTTCTTCCTTCCAGGTGAATCTGGTATACCGGCAATTTGGGCAACTGACATGGGGCTGAGACTTCCACTTATAAGCTAGTTTATGATTCCCAGGGATACCCAGATTCCTCAACAGCACTCTATTACTAGGCAGTAGGTCCTGCATCCTTACTTTCACATCATTATCTTTTGTTTTGCTGCCCTCAGATGTCTGAGGCAGCCTGGGCTTTCTCGTATGTTGTTTTCAGATTCTTCCTTACACTGTCATTGAAGTTTGGTCTGAGGATGTGCCAAATGCTGGGTCAACTGGCAGTTAGGCATCCCTCCTGAACATGAACTTATAGGAGGAGTACCTTTTGGCATTGTTCTCTATTATACAGTAGGCATGTACGACTTCTAAAATATACTGGCTCCTGTCTTGTTTCATCTCTTCAGGAGTATCCTGAGCATCTACTGAGCATATCTAAAAGCATGTGATCAAATCATTCTGAATGTGGGTTTTCTTGCAGGTGGTAAGGAGTTGTT